CATGGCGAGGGCCCCCCCCCCGTGGACGCCTGCATCAAACAAGTCGAGCAGGCATTTCGCAAGTGCAGATTCAACGCGCGTGCCTGCGCGATTTTCGCGGGGAGATGCACGGGGGCCGAAAGAAGGGAATGTCTTTGTGGACCAGGGCGAGCGCGTCGAACAAGTTCGCCCGATTGCACGCCCCGATCTTGCAGGTCATCCCCCAGATGGCCCCCAAGATGTCTGCTAGCCTGGGGGAAGGCACTTGCGCATTCCGCGCTGGCCCAAGGTTCGGGCATGGTACACATATATATATATATGAGTAAATATATGTATATATAGTTTCTCTGCAGCGCATCTTGGAGCCGACGAATATGCCGGCGATGCGGTTGAATGCCATTACCTGTTGAAGGAGCACAGGAAGATCACCTGCTAAGCCACGGCCCCTGATGGCACCGTCGGCACGCGCGGCGATTCTGGGCGTCGGAAGCTCACCGGCGAAGAGGACGACAATATTATGAACAACCAGCGGTTTTCGCGAATGCGTCGCGGAGAAGACGTGCCGCGAAGTGGAGGTCGCGCATTGCGTTGACGGCTTCTGCGCATCTTATCGTCTTCGTGTCAAGTCAGGCCCAGCTGCGCTGCCGAAGCGCTTGCTGCGCCTCCTAATCTGGCGACGCAACGTGAGCTCATGCAGGGCCCGCTGAGTCTTTCCGAGCTCGATCGCCCCCGCGTTTACGGTGGGCTCAGCGTCCAGGCGCCCCCGCAACTGGCGCTGGAGCAGCGTGCAAGTCTCCTTCCATCATGGATATCAAAGGACCCTCGGAGAAGACGCTGTCGGGGCAAATCAGCCGGATCAGAGAACGCAGACCTCGGCATCATCAACAGCGCGCAGTGGCGCGACATCGGCGACGTGGCGGCGGATGGCCACCAAGGACCAAGGGCGCGATCGACCGCGCCCTGCCTCTGCAAGTCACGGGCCGCTGCTGGAGCCACGCGCGCGATGTCAAGGCGCGCGCCGCATCGAGGCAGCGGACCTCCCATCTCTGCTCGCGCTCCTTAAATGGACTCCATAAGTCCGGTGAATCATTCAGCTGCGGCCGTTCTGTGCGCGGCGAGAGGGGGTGGGGCCTCTGGCCAGCGACTCGCGGTGTTTTCGCGGGTCCGCGACCGCTCAGGAGCGAGCGCGTCTCCGCGCTCCTTCTGCATGTCGGTTTCGCGGACTCGCGGACGCGCTCTGTGCGCCCCGTCGTCGCATAATCGCGGCCTCACCTGATGCCCTCTGCGCCTGGCTGTAGGGTCGCCCCCCTGTCTGTCCTGCCCTCGCTGCGCTATGCAGCTTGTCTCTTCCCATGAATTGTCTGTGCCAGTCTGCTGGGCTCGCGGAAGCATGGCCTGGCGACGCGCGCCCCGCGCCCGTTTTGATGCGCTGCGTGGGTGGTCGAAGCTTTCGGTTACCGATACTTGCTTTGCGCTTGCAGTTTTCAGCGTTGCTTTGGGCCAGCATAACAGGCGGCGACGGCCGAGCTTCACTCCCCCCCCTTTTCGATGTGAGGGGATACCCCGAGGGCATCTCATGCGTCGCTCGGCCGCCGCCGCTACGGTTCAAGGCGGCGCCGCCCAATGTGCTTGAGTGTATGGCGCCGCTAGTTACTCACACTCTAAGGCGCCGGGGAGGAGAAGCGGCCTTTCTCTTATCCCATCGCTATCCTAGTGTATCTCTCTGTACGGTTATCCTCTTTATGGAATGACGATTGCCGTTTACATTGAGGGCGCATGCAGTTGGGCGCGGCGAGGGGCGGGGTCCCCTGTTAGAACTCGCGTTACAGAGCAGCACATGTTATCCGAACGCGCCCGCATATGGCAGGCACGGTGGCGGATGATGAGGCGACTGGCGATGACGACGCTGATGAATACGAGTATGATGATGACTGTGACGGTAACGATGATACTGACGATGGTCATAGTGTTGCTGATGATGACGAGATGATAATAATGCCGATGCTGGCGATGATCACGGTGCTGATTTTGGTGATCATGGGGGTGCTTCTGAGGATATTTGGCGGTGATATCGAGGATGGTGACGATGATGATGATGATGATGATGATGATGATGATGATGATGATGATGATGATGATGATGATGATGATGATGATGATGATTGATGATGATGATGATGATGATGATGATGATGATGATGATGATGATGATGATGATGATGATGATGATGATGATGATGATGATGATGATGATGATGACCATGCCAGTGATGATGGTGGTGGTAATGGTGATGGTGAGGATGATGGGAAAGAGCGTGTTCTACCACTGCTGGCGGAAAACGGGGGGGGCTTACTGGGGGTTCCTAACCCGCCCCCCCCCCTTCGAAAACCAGAAAAGGGTCACTACCGGTTCGAACCCCCCCCCTCCCAGTCCATCATGAAAAGGGGGGGGTCACTACCGGTTCGACCCCCCCCCCCCCTTTTTTCGAAAACCGGGGGGGTCACTACCGGTTCGAACCCCACCCCCCCCTCGAAAACCGGGGGGGGGGTCACCACCGGTTCGAGACCCTCCCCCCCTCTCGCCGCCGGCAAACGATGCCCGCTCCTCGAGACAGTTGGAGACTGGTGGGAATGTTGGGACAGTGGTGGGAACGGTGGTGGCGGGGACAGTGGTGCGGGGCAGTGGGACAGTGGTGCGGACAGTGGTGGGGCCGGTGGTGGTGGGGACTGGTGAGGGGACAGCGGGACAGTGGTGGGGACAGTGGGACAGTGGTGGGGACGATAGTGGTGGGGACAGTGGTGAAGGCGGTTGTGAGGACAGTGGTGGGACAGTAGTACAGAAGGGAAAGTGGTGGGGACAGTGGGGACCGTGGGACAGTGATGGGGACAGTGGGGACAGTGGGACAGTGATGGGGACAGTGGGGACGGTGGGACAACACATTGGGACAGCGGCGGGGACAATGGGACAGTGGTGGGAACAGTGGGACTGTGGTGGGGACCGATGGGAAACTGGGGAGAGTGGGACCGTGTTGGGACAATGGTGGGGAGAGTGGGGACAGTGAGACACTGGTGGGGGCACTGGTGGGGACAGCGGGGACAATGGTGGGAACAGTGGGGACAGTGGGACAGTGGTGGGGACGGTGGTGGTGAGGACAGTGGTGTGGGGACAGTGGGAATGTGGAGGAAACAGTGGACATTGGAGGGTACAGTGGTGGTGGCGACAGCTGTGAGGGCAGTGGCGAGGACGGCGGTGGGATAATGGGACAGAGGTGCAGTAGGGACAGTGGTGGGGACAGTGGGGACAGTGGTGGGAACAGTGGGACAGTTCAGTGGACAGCGGCGGGGACAGTGGGACAGTGGTTGGGGCCGTGGAGAAAATGAGGAGAGTGGAACCGTGGTGGGAACAGTGGTGGGGACAGTGGGGACAGTGCGACAGTGGTGGGGGCACTGGTGAGGACAGTGGTGACGGTGGTGGGAAGAGCGGGGACAGCGGTGGTGAGGACAGTGGTGCTGGGGACAGCAGTGGGGGATGTGGTGCGGACGGTGGTAGGGACCCACAGTTGTTTGGCCGATGAGTGTGGGGGGGGGAGGGCTTCGAACCAATAGTGATCGACGGGGGGGTTCCGAACCGGTAGTAACCCTCCCGAGTTTTCGAAAGGGGGGGGGTTCGAACCGGTAGTGACCCCCGAACCGGTCGTGACCCCCCCCGGTTTTCCGGAGGGGGGGGGATTCGAAGCGGTAGTGACCCCCCCCCTGGTTTTCCGGAGAGGGGGGGGTAGGGGAGGGGGGGGGGGGCCGGGGGAAGGGGAGGGGGAGGGGGGAGGGGGGTCAGCAGGGGGGGGGAATTTTCCACAGTAAAGCGGTGGTGGACCACGCTCTCTCGATGATGGTGATGATGACGGCGATGCCAACGATTATGACAGTGGTCGTGGTGATGATGTTTGTCATCGTGGTGGTGCTAATGGCGCTTATGTTGATGCTACAAATGCTGATGCCGATGCTGTTGATGATGGTGACAGTGTTGATGACGATGATGATGTTGATGATACTGATGCTGTCGTTGCTGAGAATGCAGATGATGAGCCACTCGCTGCCAGAACGCCGCAGCTGGCGCCACGGTCGCTGCCCCCACGTCGGAGGACCCGAGCTGGGCGGGTTTAGGATATGGATCCAGTTGCGGTGCCGCGCAATTCTGCCACAGCACTCGGGAGAACGGGGGGCGATGGGGGCGCCTTCGGGGGGGGGGGGAAGTTCAGTGGAACCCCCTTTCCGCAAGCCGTGTGTTTAGGACCATTCTCTGCTTGGCAGGCCAAAGCGCAAGGACATGGTTACCAAAATGCATGACCTTGTGTCTGGATGCGTCGGTGGGCCCTACGAATTACTCCTTTGCAATAACCGACAAGGCCCGCACACCAACTGTTGCAATCGCGATGGCGGAAAAATCGTCCCAGGTCGTTCTGGAACGCCCCCAGAGTCTTCTAGGGCATTCTGGGAGAAGGCCGCGGCACCGCAGACTTGCCGAATCTCAAAGGTCGCCGATGTGGCCCCGTCCGATGTTGCCCCGATCCTGGCTCCGTCCTCGCGAGAGGATGATGGGGCCTCTGGTGTTCTCTTCCTCGAAGCGTGTGTGGGTGCCGCCCTCCTCCCTCTGCTCTGCGACTGCCCCGCCGCCTCTCCTTGGCATCGCTCGGACGTGTCCCCCTACAGGGGGATTTTCGACGAAAAATATACAATACCCTAAACATACACCAAAAAGGTCAAGAAATACTAACAAAAATCGTCCCCAGACTATTTTTTAATCATTTTTTTAATAATGGGAGGGGGGGGGAAGACAGGAGCCCCGAAACTATGGGAACACATGGGGGATCCTGCCGTTTCTGCGAATCTGTTTGTGTGTCCCAGGGCCCCTTTGAACAGAGCGGCCCCGCGGCCCGGGCCCGCTCGGGCGGCGAGGTGCGGGCCGACCTCGGGCGGCGAGTGCGGGTGTCGCGCCCCCCGGCGCGGTGCCCCTCCCGCCGCAGGTCCTCTACGGCCAGCAGGAGTACCTGCACCGCAAGCCGCACCCCGCCAGCCCCGCCGCGTCCCTCCCCTTCGTGGACAGCCAGGGGGAGCTCATGCTGTGGAAGCTGGAGGCCGAAGCCTTGGCTGCCGCCTCCGATGCAGCCGGGCTCTGGATGTATGTACCCCTCTCCCCGCCGGCCGCAACTGGGGGAGCTGTCTTCATTGCCCCCCTGTGGGAGCCCGTCGCATCGAGGATCTCTCACGAGCGGTGCCTGGGGGGGAGAAGCACAAGGGCTCGACCTGAACGGTGTTCTGCCCATTTCGTGGGGCGTGTTCGTTTTCGACCTCGTTCTGCAGCAAAGGCTGAAGGAAGGCGAAACGATGGATAACGACAGCTACGCGACAACGAACAACATGGTTTAGGTCAAGCGCTGGTAGGCATCATAGCTCACCCCAGTCGTCGGCTGGGGAACCCGAGGAACCTCCGAGAAACGGGCAACGTAAGAATACGAGGCACTGGGAGCGGGGAACCCGAGGAACCCAGGGAACCGGAAGAATCTCCAGGGGACGGGCAACAGAAGAATACGAGGCACCGGGGGCGGGGAACCCGAGGAACCCGTGGAACACGAGGAACCTCCAGGGAACGGGCACAGTAAGAATACGAGTCACCAACCTTTAATCAAGTAAGAACCCCGTAGGCAAGCCTACGTTGATCTTCGTTGAATTTTATATGGTTCAATTTTGTTGCATCCCTTGCAGCTTGCTCGCCTGAGTGACAGTATGCTAGTCTTTGGAAGGGGGCGCTTTCTGTAGTGAACAGGACGGCCTGGAGGGACTATTGAAGAGGGTCACCTTCAACGGGAGGGTGTATTGCAGCATCGTTGATGCATCTCGGGTTGAATCTGGTCCTCGTCTTCCTTCTCTCGGAGGTTGATAGACCTCCTACCCTGACACGTCGATTATCGAATTGGCCGTTTTCGGTTCGCGACAGGGCGTCGCGGCCGTCATTTTTGCGGGTCCAGGTCCGTCGGTTTCGGTCCTGGGCCGTTTTCACTGAAGGGAGGTTTACTAAAGGGAGGTTTATCCACCGCCGATTCTCCTCGTCTCCCTCCCCCCCAGAGCCCCCTTCCCCCTGTCGTTCCTCTCTCCCCCCAGCGCAGGCCTTTGCAAAGGGCCTGGAGCACACGTCTGAGCTGTACCGCACCGCCGAGCTGTACTCACCGACTGGGCACGGGCGCTTGAAAGGCCCTCTTTGGAGGAGCAGGACGACGACGACAGAGGAAGGGGAGGGAAAAGAGGCGGGAGAGGAGGTGGGAAGGCGGAGGTTGCATCGACAGAGCCCTCCAGGGTCGTCCAGTACGTAGGCATGGGCGCCTCAATCGCCCCCCCCCCATGGTGCTCGTTGCAGTGGAGGATGCCGAGTCTGCGCAGAGTGAAGCCGCGCGGAGTGCTCGGTCCCCGGTCCGGGCTGCCTCCCTCCCGAAGGCAGCCCCTCCTGGGGCCCACACCTCGGGCCGCCTGCGGCGCCCTGGGTATAGCCCCGGCCGCTCCGCACCGCGTCGGCCGTGTGGCTCCGAGCCGCGTGCCGGCGGGCTCGAGGGCACTGCCCCGCTGCGACGGGATCTGCCGCCAGCCAGCCGGCGCGAGCCCCCTCGAGGGCGCGCCCGCGAGCTCGAGGCCGCACGGCATGCCGCACGGCATGCCGGAAGGGGCCAGGGCCTCTTCCGCGCCGAGGCGTCGCCGAGGCGTCGCGGCGCTGCGTCGCGGCGCTGCGTCGCGGCGCTGCGTCGCGGCGCTGCGGCGCGGGCCCCCGACCCCGCCTGCTCGGGCCCCAGCCCCAAGCGCCTCCACAAGCGGGGCCGCCTCGCTCCGATCCTCCGGCGTCGGAGGCCTGGGCCCGCCCGCGCCCCCCCGCTCGCCCCCGCTCGCCCCCGCCGCCGCGCCGCTCGCCTCGCCCGCCCCCGCCCTCGCCTCGGAGGCGAGGAAGTGGCCCAGCCACGAGCTTTGGGAGCTCTCCGCGCGGAGTCCTTCGACCCGCGCGGGGCCCTTCCGGCGCCGCCTCCAGCGCCGCCCCTAGCGCGCTCCGCGCGCCATTGGGGGTTTGGGGCCGGCGCCGAGCCAAGAGATCCGCGGGGGCCCGTCGTTTCTTCGAAGACTGGGACGCAAGACTTCTTCGTCTGCGGTGTGCCTCATCCCAGATGGGAGGCAGCGCGCCGCGCGTCTGGCGGCGCGCCTGGCCTGCGGAGCGCCGCGAAGGTGGAGCTGTTGAGGAGGCTTCGCGTCACGCTCGCGCTGTTCTGGGTCGAAGGCTTCCGCCTGCGCCGGCACGGGGCCCTCTGTGGCCAGGGCTGGCCCACTTCGACGTTCGGTTTTGCTGAGCTACACGTCCTGTCTTGTGTGCTTAGGTGGTCTGCTCTGTGCCGAGCTTGCTGCTCGCCACGCGCCAGATTCGTCCAAATGTAATTGCATGGTGCTCCTGCCTGTACACAGTTTTTAGCTGGAGGCCCCTCAGATGTCAGAAGAAACGGCGGGGCACATTCAAAGGTCGCGCATCTACCATGCGTAGACCACATTGGGGGCTCTGGACATGGAGCAGCAGGTGTGAATTCCGATCGCATGGTTCGCCGACAAGGGGAAACATCGACATCTCATAGCGCATTGGAGAGCCAGAACCAAGGGCAGCCTGAATTATTCACTGTACAATGTATAGCAACTACCGCCAATCTGCAAAGCGTATTGTGCATGTCGAGACAAGTGCCCCGTACGATAGTTGTGTAAACATACGCAAGGTGTGGGTATAAAACGCCTGCCCAGTGCGGATCCCCCGAGCGAGGAGATGTGCCCTGGTGGATCAGCCAGCGAGGGGGGAGGTGATGGGGATGAGGTCGGCGACTTCTGAGGAGGACGGCAGGGAAGAGGACGAGAGAGGGAGGGGTCGGGGCAGGGTACTAGGTTCAACCGGGAAGACGCTCCGAAGCCAGAATAACGAGGGGACAAACCCGAAGCCCTGGGAGGGGCCTCACCTGGAGGTGCCAAACCCGAAGAGCCTGGAGGGGTGAAATCCGACGAGCTGGGAGATGGTCCAACTAGAAACGCTTTGGAGGGGATCTCCAGAGAGGGAGGACGAGGTAGTAGAGGAGGTAGGAGGAGGTAGGAGGAGTGAGAGGGGGCACGAGATGGTAACAGAGACGAGGAGGTAGGACGAGCGAGAGTGAAGATGGAGGAGGCTGGTGGACGTAGTAGGTGGTAGGACGAGGCAGACGGAGGTAGGAGAGCTATGGGGGCAAAGGAGGATAGCAGGGCGGTAATATTTTCACACGTGGGTGTCTTGGGCGTAGCGGGTTCTGGGTAGCACGTCGGCGAGTGGTGTTTCAATCGGGTATCTCAGCGTGGTCCGTTTGTGGTTTCTGCAGTTTGGGCGTTCTTTTTTGGGGTCTTCGTCGGTGTTTGCTGGCCTGTCGTTACCCCGTTGCGGACGGAGTGGTGTTTTATTGGTTCTCGTTTGCGGCGTTGCCACGTGGCGAATCTAATGGAACATCCAGTTGCTTGCGGCAAACCCCGCCATTGTGCTTGTGTAACAGCTCAGCAGGAAGGAGGCCGAGGGTAGGCACAGCGCAATTCCGACGAGTAGGCTGCTTTGGGGCGGGTCGTGATCCCACTTCGTCTTGGTCCGCGCGGTAGGAAAGAGGAGGAGGAGGAGGAGGAGGAGGAGGAGGAGGAGGAGGAGGATAAGGATGATGAGGATAAGGATTAGGATGAGGAGGAGGAGGAGGAGGAGGAGGAAGGAGGAGGAGGAGGAGGAGGGAGGAGGGAGGAGGAGGAGGAGGAGGAGGAGGAGGAGGAGGAGGAGGAGGAGGAGAGGAGGGAGGAGAGGAGGGAGGAGGAGGAGGAGGAGGAGGAGGAGGAGGAGGAGGTAGAGGAGGAGGAGGAGGAGGAGGAGGAGGAGGACAAGTTAGGTGCGCGCGCGTCATATCTGTCGTCCTACCCCTCCCTCCCATCCCTTACCATGGCGCTGATTTTCTCTATCCGCGGACTAGTGGGTGGTGGTGCGCGTGCGTGCGTGCGTGCGTGTGTGCGTGGTTGCGGTGGTGGTGGTGGTGGTGGTGGGGGTGGTGGTGCTGGTGGTGGTGGTGGTGGTGGTTGTGGTGGTGGTGGTGGTGGTGGTGGTGGTGGTGGTGTGTGTGTGTGTGTGTGTGTGCGTGTGTTCGCGTGTGCTGTGGCATGGCACGGGCAATGACGCCAGCGCTGCAGCGGGAGCACGAGTCGAAACGGGCGGAAGCGCGGAAATGAGGCCAGCGCTACAGCGGGAGCACGATTCGGAACGAGCGGAAGCACGGAAATGAGGCCAGCGCTGCAGCGGGAGCACGATTCGGAACGAGCGGGGCCCGAAAATGAGGCCGGCGCCGCGGCGAGAGCAGCATTTTGAAAACAAGCACAAGCGAATGGCACGGGCAATGACGCCAGCGCTGTAGCGGGAGCACGAGTCGAAACGGGCGGAAGCGCGGAAATGAGGCCAGCGCTACAGCGGGAGCACGATTCGGAACGAGCGGAAGCAGCGGGAGCACGATTCGGAACGAGCGGGGCCCGAAAATGAGGCCGGCGCCGCGGCGAGAGCAGCATTTTCAAAAAACACAAGCGAAAACCCGTTTCCCGGGAATCCTGTGTGTACAGAAACAATACGCGGGGGGGTGTCGGATATCTTCGGGACGCCATCAGGGGAAGTGGGAGAGTATTTTCATATTGTGCAATTGTGGAGGAGGAGGAGGAGGCAGAGGCGGAGGCGGAGGCGGAGGAGGAGAAGGAGGAGGAGGAGGAGGAAGAGGAGGAGGAGGAGGAAGGAGGAGGAAGAGGAGGAGGGAGAGAGAGGAGGAAAATGAGGAGGAGGAGGAGGAGGAGGAGGAGGAGGAGGAGGAGGAGGAGGAGGAGGATGAGGAGGAGGAGAGGGAGGAGGAGAGGGAGAACATGAGGATGAGGAGGAGCAGGAGGAGGCTTACTGGGGCCCTCGTGGGGCTTCCTAGGGGCCTCCTGAGAGCTTCCTGAAGGCTTCTTAGGGGCATCTTGGGTGCCTCATGGGGCCTTTTGGGGTCTCTTGGGCAATCTTAGGGGACTCTTGGCTTGTCTAACGCCTACGGAGGCCCTCTCTAGGCCGCGTTGGTGCCCTCTTGGAGCGGTTCGCAATCGACTTGGGGCCCTCTTGGGAGCACCTTGGGAGATTTTTGGATATTCTTGGGCCGACTACGGGCCCTCTTGGGGGCCTCTTGGGCTATCTTGGAGCTGATTTGGAGGCCTCTTGTAGGCTTCTTGGGCCGTCTTGGGCGGTCGGAAAGAGCGCGTTCTGTGGTCGCTTGGAGGGGGGGGGGGGGAATGGACCCACCCCCCCTCCCCCCCCTACCTCTCTCTCCCTCTCCTCGGCTGGCGGCGGCGGCGGCGGGGACGACGATTTCCTTTTCTGGGCCGGCGCCGGCGCCTGCGGCGGCGGGCGGCGGCGGCGGGGAGCGTCGACGAGGACGACGGTGGTGGTGGTGGTGGTGGTGGTGGGTTGTAGTGGTGGCGGTGGCGTTGGTGGTGGTGGCGGTGGTGGTGGTTGTGGTGGTGGTGTGTGGTGGTTTGTTGTGGTGGGTGGTGGTGGTTGTGGTGGTGGGTGGTGGTGGTGGTGGTGGTGGTGGTTTGTGGTGTGTGGTGGTGGGTTGTGGTGGTGGTGGTGGTGGGTGGTGGTGGTGGTGGTGGTGCGGTGGTGGTGTGGTGGTGGTTTGTGGTGGTGGTGGTGGTGGCTTGTGGTGGTGGTGGTGGTGGGTTGTGGAGGTGGTGCTGGTGGCGGTGGTGCTGGTGGCGGTGGTGGTGGTGGTGGTGGTGTGGTGGTTTGTGGTGGTCTTGGTGGGTTGTGCTGGTGGTGGTGGTGGTGGTTGTGGCGGCGGTGGTGGTGGCGTGGTAGATTGTGGTGGTGGTGGTGGTAGTGCTGTTTTTTCCCAACCATCCTGTGGTGTTGGGTCCTCGTTTTGAAGAGACGGTGCCCCGCGTTCCTTCCTTCCTCCTTCCTCCTCCTCCCCTCCTCCCCCTCCCATCACCATCACCATCACCCTCCGCATGCCTCTATTTCGGCACACCCATCACACGGTTCGTGGCCCCGTAGGGAGATCCACCGAAGCCCCCAGGGGCAGGGTTCGCATGGCGGCCCCGCCCCATTTTGGCGCACCCCTCACACGGTTCGTGGCCCCATAGGGAGCTCCACCGAAGGCCCCAGTGGC